AACCCTAACCCTAAATTCTAGACCCTGAACCCTGAACCCTAAACTCTAAGCCCTAAACCCTAAACCCTAAACTCTAAACCCTAAACTCTAAACCCCAAACCCTGTACAGGGCCGACTGGAAATCCCGAATCAGCCCTCGGCCCAGGCACAACACAGATGCACTTTGGAAGCAGTTCCGCTCCCAGTCAGGACCTCGGCTCAGTAACTCATATAGGGGCCTTTAAAAATTAGGATCGGTTTCTTTTTTTTGGGGGGGGGTTCCTTGAAAGGGTTCCTTAAAGGGTTACTATAAGGGCTACTATAAGGGTTTAGGGTGTAGGGGCCTTAATAATTACAATGGGGTTTTGGGGGTATAGAAAATTATAAAACATTTTTTAAGGAACCCCCTAAATCGTATAGGTAATGATTGAGGCCCCTATATTATTATTGTTGTTACCAGTATTCTAATACGCAGTACTATGTTTATAACTCTCACTACTGGTGTTGTCAGTACTATTACAAGTGCAATTAAGTGCAATTACCTAACCTTGCTGCAACTACGATTTGCATAGCTATTACAGGGTGGAGAAGGAAGGCCCCGAGGGGGAGGGGGGGCAAGGGGGTTGGGGGTCACTGGGAGGGCATTAAGATGAGGGTCAACATGGTTCTGTAATAATCTCTCACCGCTTCGGCCAGGACCGAGGCGAGTCATGGTTGTTTCTCTTCTTGGTCTTAATCTATAGGAAGAGGCGGAGGAGTAGAAGGAGGAGGGCTTGGGCGGTGTAGAGGCAGCTTTACGAAGCAACGATTGTTCCTGTCATTGCCTGTCATAACTGATATCATCGCTGCAGTTCGTAAAACGCAAAGCTCGATCGCCTCCTCCGGATCCGTCAGGTTCGGACAGTTCATCCAGTTCGACTACGGCCAGGCCACTTTCGGCATGCCCGACCACGTGAAGAGACTCGTGCCGAATTCGGCAAGGTGGGTGGTGAAGGTTTCGGGGCTCAGCCTTGGGGTGTTGGGTTGAGGGTTCAGGATGTCGTGCGGACATTTGGTCGGCACTGCGCATCCTGGGGAACTCCAGGTTGGGTTTCTACGGCCTTTGGCTTAGAGCCGAGTCCATACCGGAGGACTCCTGAAAGGGATCCTAAGCGCCCCGAATTCCACGAGATACTATACTCTACTATGCTATACGATACTCTTCCCTAAGCCCTAAACCCTAAACCCTAAACCCTAAACCCTAAACCCTAGTTGAAAGGAGTTGTGAGACTCCGGGGTTCGGGCCATCTCCTTGTGC